GTTTTGGAATTACTAAAGTGAAATATTGGTGAAAAAAGATAAAGTAACTAGAAGCAAACCCAGACATCAGCCAGTAGTAACCAATTTAATACAATGATGACATTATTGGCCAGTCTGCCCTTCTGAATTTATATGCTGATGCCTCTGATTAAACTGCAGAAAAAAAACGGTGGGTGCAATGATACTCAAGTTACCTAACATTTTCTCTTTTTCATGACACAGATGCACCCTCCTAATAGCCATGTTGACATGATTAATTTCTCAGTGCAGTTTGCTACAAAATTTATTTATGGCTATGTAGGAACTACTGCTTTTGTTTTTAAGTAATGAATGAATTAGTCAGTTTTTATATAAAGAACATTGCCCAAAAGGTTACTGGCTGGAGGATTTATTCTACTTCTCCACCAGTGTTTGTAGGAGCTAGAAGTTAGGGTAGGTCCAGCGTCAGTTCCCTTCCCACTTCCTACAGAATTCCTGGCCTCTCACTGTGGAGACAGAGCTCCTGTGCCCCTCTACCATTCACTCTCCATCTATGCTTTTAACTAGGAAAGAGCTGACAGAGGGTCAGCGGTACATTTAACACCAGTGCAGTGTTTAGTGATGTAACAACACTGCAGTGAGCTCCTCAATGGATGGTACTCCTGTTTGTAGTTTTGGTCTCTCGTCCCAATGATCTACTGTTTATTGATCATTATCGATATTAAGTGTTCAGTGCGGGGGAATGCAGAGGGTTTTGGTTTTGGCTTTAGGGACAGTGATGAAAAGTAGGTCTGATACCACAACTAGGTCCAGGCAGGTCACTCGAGGGACAAGTGGAAAGTTTTGCAATATAATCAGTCATCTCTAAGTGCAAGTCTTGGCACTGAATAGGGTATTAGGACTTCAAGATAAAAAAAATGGCAGCATGGAATTTGGCTTTCTTTCTGGGTCATGTCTGGCTCATCTTACTAATATTAGGAATGGAATTGTTAGGGGTGATATCTTTTATGGGACCAACTACACAGCTGGAACAAAGCTAGACAAGCTTTCAAATGCAAAACACTCTTCATCATCATTCTGTGAGGAATCTTACAGAAGTCAATGGGATTGGAGTTTTATATGGAGAATGACTAGGCCTTGCTGTCTGAGCTGTTGTCTTGGCAGGACTATAATATTAATAATATGAGGCAGAGTGATTTATATTAAAAACAAAGGACAGTATAGCCTCACAGCACTCCCAGTGCAGGCCTGTCTCTGGTTGTCACTTTGGCCCACAATCAGAGCAGCTATGCTCTGGATTCTCTGGATTTGTAAACAGATAGAGTGAAATCTAGAAACAGACTCAGAGTAAAATCTTCCTCTGTCAATGCTCTGAACACGTCTACATTCAAACCCCCTCACTCCCCCACACTCTACACATCTGGTAGTTGTTCAAATCTGAACTTAGCTAGAAGCTATTTTGGGAAACAGGAAACTGAACTGTTGCTCCAGTAAATCCTAATCACACCTCCTGAAACAACGATGGAGATAGTTCCATCTGGTCTGCAATTAAACATGCATGGGTTCAAACATCCCTGTTCCAGAAAACAAGTTACAACAATTCAGCTTCCTAGTGCAGAATGAGCTCATTGTGATCCTAAACTTGACACCACATTGTGTAACAATAAAAACAGGCCATGATTTTCCTCTACCCTTTTCTCTTCACATTGGTATAGCTTCATTGATTTCCTAATTCAGTATGCCCTTGAGAGAGATCTGTCAGTTGACCCATCATATATGGAATGTTCATTGACAGAAAAGGACAGGAAGGAATCACGTGGAAAGGTCAGTAGTATACTCAAAAAGTTTCCATGAAGTCAGTGACTGGAGAATAAGGCCTTTGAAGAATAATGGGAGTATAGGAAAGCTGATGCCAACAGTAGTACAAACACCAGAACTAGAGTACAGGAATTTCAAGTGGAAATGGCAGCATTCCCCTGAAAAGGAGAAAGAGTTCAGCCTGATTGGCCACGTCCACATGAACTTGGATATTTGGTTCCCCAGGGACAACTAGTAGTGGCATACCTTGTGCCACTGCTAACTGTCCCTGGGAAACACCTGTGCCACGTGCCCTCTAGTGTGTGGCAGGTTACCCCAGGTGGGGTAGGGAAGGCTGGGGCCAGCACCGAGATGGCCTCAGCAGCCTTACCTGGGGTTTCCTGGGGCTGCAGTAGCTGTGATCCTGCCACTTGGAGCCTGGCTGGCAGCCAGAGTGTGGCTTCAGTTTGCCAGGCTCCGGTTTTGAGCAGCAGGTGCTGCTCCTGCATGCACCACTCCGCTTTATTTTTGCCACGGTTTTTTTGACCCTTGGATATCCACGGGTCAACCCCCCTCTCCCCCTCCTCCCCCCAAACACTACTCCCTTGCAGCTTGGAGAACAGCTGGATGTGCAGTATGTGGTGCTGCAGAGGTGTCTGCGGTGCCACATATGGTACGGCTGTGCTCATCTGGATGCAGCCATTGAATCCAAACCCTCTGCTTGGCAAAAAGGCTAAACTGTCCTATACAGCAGATATGCTACACCATTTCTGCAAAATAGAACGTTAAGTCTCCTGGAGACTTTTACTATATGAGAAAAACAGAGTGCAAAGACAAGTTTCAATGCATCTTTGTCAAGTAATTTAGTAAATGCCCCTTCCCTCCTGAAGACATCTGGTATATCAAAAAAGTGTAGGCAGTATGATTAGTTGAATGACTAAGTAATTTCCTTGTAAAAACTTATCAACTCTATGAAAACGAGAAACCCTTTGTGAGCACTGAGGTAGATCTCTATGTGGCAAACCCTGTTTTCTATTTTTTTCCCCTAGAAAAATATCTTATAGTAGAGAGAATAAGAGGCCTCTTACAAATGTGAAGAGAACAATGAATGCTGGGTTGGACCTCACATAGAAAAAAGACAAAGGGGAAAGAAAGGGAGTGGTGTTATTTCCCAGCTTGGAAAAAAATGAGGCAGAGTAAGAACAAGAAGAAAATATGTTAAGGAACATAGGGCAGTTATATACCTAACTCCAACAGCAACACAACACACACAATTTGCGGCAGAGATAAAAACTAAACCCAGGTCTCCTGAGTCCTGCTCCAGCACTTTAACTATAGATTACTCCTTCTGAATTGTTGTTTTTCTCTTTACAGAGCTTCCTAAAGGAGAGACAGTTGCCTTCAGTTTAGCAAAGTAAAGCAAATGTCTTTGTAGGGTGGAAGTGAATGACAAGGTACCAGTGGCTGTTTCCTATGTGACTGGGCCACCAGAGCCAGACTACAAACTAAGAAAACAAGACCAGTTTCTAGTCTATGAAAAGTCTCTCTTTAGTACAACATCACAACTAGTTACTTACAGAATAGGCAAAAGCAGGAAACTTTTATGCTGGAGTAAATCAAGCTGTCAGATAGATTCTTCTGATTAAAAGACACGCTAGGCCCATTTCGCAATGAGTATTCTCTAGGCATATCAGCACAACTTGGAACCCACATAGGCAGTTGATAATTCCAGTCTGTTGATTTGAAAAGCAACAGCATCTCAGAATCTATTTCTTATTAATCATCTGTGACCAGTGACCACACATAGTATTCAACTTCCTTGACCAAGTGCCCCAGGTGGTACAATGGAACAGTACAAGTGTTGTTTATGAGCTCAGTAGCAAGTCTTGTTAATTTGTACACAACGCCTTCTTCTGTCCCCATCCTTTTCCAAAATATGCTGTGGCTTTTGATGCTGGTTTCTTTGACTTTAAGAGTCTTATGGACTTTTGCTTTTGCTACTCAGGTTTTGAAAGTGCATCTCCAGGGTATCCCACAGCTTATATAAACACAAACTTTTAGTTGGGGGAAAAAACCAAAAAGTTACAATTCCACATAAGCCAACTGCATCTAGTTCAACTCATGTCACACATGTTTTCTCTACATGCCATTAACAGACCTTTGAATATTTGCTGAACTCCTTGGCTGGTTACATTTTCTTTCGATGCCAAATATAAAAAGGTTTTATTACCTAAGCAAGAATGAGATTGGAACAGCCCCAATTTTATTGCATATTGCACAGCTAATCACAGCAATAACTTGTAATTTTCTAGACAGGTTTCCACTTCTAACCTATTTTTGTACACTATAAAGAATATCTCTGGAAAACTTTCAGATTCTACATATATGGGGCTTACAGAAGAGCTGAGATAGAGAGTAACAAGCCTGAAAGTGCCTCTGCAGCTACAAGCTGTCGCCTATAAAGATTTTAGAATTTAAAAAAAAAGTGATAAATGTGTCATTCATTTGCCAGTATCAGAACAAGTAATGTCTTAGATTAAGTGTGACAGTCATAGAGAAGTGGGGCTGGAAGGGGACCTCCAGAGATCATCTAGTCCAACCCCCCTACCTAGGACAGGATTATCCCTATCCAAACCATCCCATACAGCCATAATTTAACCTCTACATACGGCCCTCAACCCTGACACAACACAGACCTAACACCCTAACCTGTCACAGGTAAAGCAAGGGATCCATGGCAGCAAATGTCCTGCTTCTATAAAACATTGTCAATATATGTTCAAGAGATCCCGGGTAGAGGGCCATACCCTCTGCTATAGAGGAAGGCAAAAAACCCCACAGTCCATATCAATCTGATCATGGGGTAAAATTCCTTCCTGACTCCATATATGGCACTTGGTCTGACCCTGAGCAGAGGGGCAAGACCCTTTAGTCAGGAACCTCCAGCTTTGCTCCTAGCAGGAGAATCTGCACACCCCAGTTGAAGTACCCAACCTCAGTTGTAACCAACACCCAATGCCTCTGGGGAGGCTTAAAAACACCCTGACACATACAGCAGAAAAAAAAAGGGTGGGGGGAGTAAAGGGAAACGGGCAGGAGCAA